CAAGGTTTGCTGGAAGAAAACTCAGTTTTGGGTTAAGCTCGCCTTTGTACATGACAATTCCTTGTTACTTATATATATGTGTTCAGTGTGTACAATAAAATAGAATAAATAAATAAATTGTTCCCGTTTAGCCAATAAATTAAACTGCACTACAAAGTCAAAGACGTAATCGCTTTTATATGTTAATTTTGTTGTAATCTATTCACATTTTCTATGAAAATTTTGCATATTAAAACGCATCAAAACATCAATGGGTGCGCGGTAAATAAAACTGCAAGTCTACGCCATAAGTACAGATTATTGCTATCTCGCTCGTTTAGTTGACCCAGACTTTTGCAAGAAAATAGAAGCATAATTGCCCTTTTTTTTGGAATAAGGAGCAAACTAGCAGACGGGTCACCAGGGCCTCAATTCTGCTATTTTATGTTCGCGCCAAGCCACTGTCATACCACTGACATGCTATTGAGATGCCATCGAGTGGCCATTGGCATCGGTATAAATATCGGTAGTCTACACTAACTCAGTGTCTTTACAGTGGCGATGGAATGGCAGTGGCTCATCAGTGGTGATATCAAAAATAAATAAATAATTTGCTCAAAAAAACGTAATATATTTTCAAATTATAAGGATGCCAATGGCCGCCCATAAACGCCTGCAACTCAGGATTCAGGAACAGTTTAGGAAGGAGTACGCTCTTTTCTTGAAGGTCTGAAGGTCATATCGGTATACGGGAGACAATAACCGCTCAATATATTGATTGGTCGAGACAAAAGTGTCTCGAAAAGCGCACAGTCGTGAAGCGCCAACTATCCAGGTGTTAGGAATGAAAATTTTGCCGTGTGGAACGATGGCGGTAAGTTGTGACCGGTATTGGTCCGAACAATTCCTCGAAGCACTCTCCATAATATATGCGATAGAGAATGTAGAGTAAAGCTATATCTCTACGCAACACCAAGGGATCGAGCCGATCAGACGTTTTCACTGGTTATATAAAATAGGGGTTTTAAAAATAAATATTTTCATAGTAATACAATTAATCTTATTAATTAACTAATCTAGCTCTATGCTATGCTATGCTATGCTCTTTTCTTGAACCAATATCCAAAGCGGATTGCTAGGCTCGTATGAAATATGGTTAGGTAGAAGGGGTAACACAGCAGACAGAGTACTCCCTAAACCTATACCTAAACCGTAATTCCCAGGCGCTGTCGAAGACGCATGTGTTGCCCCCCCCTCTATGACGCGATTGACCCGGCACCCGCACGGTGAATTCATGGAACGCTAAGAAATGTCTTTTTATAAATATATTAAAATTAACCTATGCATTAAAAATATACATAATTATCATCTGCCTACCCTTTTCCCAATTTTATTTGGGGTCGGCGCAGTATGTATGATTTTTCCATTCTACTCTGTCATGCGTCATCTCACTGTTTACTCCCTTCCTAGCCATATCCTCCCTGACGCAGTCCATCCACCTTTTCTTCGGTCTGCCTCTTCTCTTGTACCCTTCAACTCTCATACCTAAAACTTTCTTCGCCACATTTTCCTCATCCCTCCGCATGACATGTCCATACCAAGATAACCTATTACTTCTTAACTTTTCATCCAGTGGCGCTACTTTCAGACTCCCTCGTATATACTCATTCCTAACCTTGTCCATCTGAGTCACACCACACATCCATCTCAGCATTCGCATTTCGGCTACATTCAGGCGTCTCTCATCCGTTCTCTTAATGGGCCAACTTTCAGAGCCATACAGGACGGCAGGTCTGATAATAGTTTTATAAATTTGTCCCTTCAGTGTTAAGGGGAAACTGGGGTCACAAGTTGTTCCCATTACCTGCCGCCACTTCATCCATCCCGTATTGATTCGATGCTGTACAGTTCGATCAATCTCACCATCACATTGTAAGAGGGAGCCGAGGTACTTGAAATTGGAGCAGACTGTTATCGCTATCCCATTCAGCGAAATGGTTTCAGGACTGGAGAGACCGCCGAAATCGCAGAACATGTACTCAGTTTTGGTTCTGCTGATTTTCAAGCCAACATTCTCCAGCCTTTGTTGCCATTTTTCCAGTCTGCTCTGGACCTCAACCCCATCTTCACCGACTAACACAATGTCATCTGCAAATAGCATGCACCAAGGTGCCTCCTCCTGTATGTCCGATGTCAGAGCATCCATTATCAACAGGAAGAGGTATGGGCTCAGAGCTGATCCCTGGTGCAAGCCTACAGAGACACTGAATTGGTCAGTGTTTCCCGTGACCGACCTTACATGAGTGCTAGACTCTCTGTACATAGCACGAATCAATTCTACATACTTTACAGGCACTCTTTCTTCTTTCAAAGCCCACCACAAAACCTCTCGGGGTACCCTATCATATGCCTTTTCGAGATCCACAAACACTATATGCAAGTTTTTGTGCGCACTCCTGTATTTCTCACATAGTTGGCGCATTGCAAATATAGCTTCTGTTGTCCCGCGTCCTGGCATAAACCCAAATTGACTTTGGGTTATCTGACTCTCATCTCTTATTCTTCTCTCAATCACTTTCTCCCAGACTTTCATAGTATGTGACATGAGCTTTATTCCTCGATAGTTGTTGCATTCCTGAACATCTCCTTTATTTTTGAAAATGGGTACGAGTTGAGTTTGACACCATTCCTTTGGGATTACCTCTTCAAGCAACAACATATTGAAGAATAGAGTCAGCCACTCATATCCGTCTTCTTTCAGTAGCTTCCAAACTTCCACTGGTATACCATCGGGGCCAACTGCTTTTCCATTTTTCATACTTCGTACTGCCAATCTAACTTCATCTATACTAATCTCGTTCACCAGTCCGACATTCACATCCACATGCTTTAACACTCCGCTCTATTTATTCTCTTCATTCGTAAGTTTTTCAAAGTAAGTTTTCCATCGCTTTTTTATACTTTCATCTTTAACCAACACTCTCCCCTCTTCATCTTTTATACATCTCACATGCTTTAGGTCTTTTGCTCTTTCTTCCCTGTTCTTTGTAATGCGGTAGAGTTCTTTTTGACCTCTAGGTTCATGTAGGTGTTTAAATATGTTATATTGAGCTTCAGCTCTGGCTACCGCTACCGCTTTTTTTGCCTTTTTCTTCCACTCTTTATATTCATTCATTTTGACTTCCTTCATTCTCTCACAGACCTTTTCATTTTTCCACGCTTTAAAGGCATCCTTCTTTTCTTTTAGAGCTTTCTGTACCTCATCACTCCACCACCATGTATCTCTTTCAATAATGCCTTTTCCTTTTGTTTCCCCAAGTACTTCTCTCGCTATCTGTCGTATATAATTTGCCATTTCACTCCACCATCCATCCACAGACTTATCTAGCCTTGCATTCATTTCAATCATTTTTTCTACCACCTTTACCTTAAAGTTACTTGCATACTCTTCTTTCTCTAACATTCGCCACCTGATTCTTGGAGAAGGTCGGTTCTTCCTACTCTTACTCAAACTCTTCCATTTGACCTCCGTTACCAGCAATCTATGTTGCGATACTACGGGTTCCCCGGGCACCACTTTGCAGTCTCGGACACAAACCAACTTACTTCTTTTTATGAGAAAGTAGTCAATCTGTGTCGCGTGGCTACCACTTTTATACGTGATCAGATGTTCGTGACGTTTTTGGAACCATGTGTTAACTATTGCCAGGTCAAACGAAGAGGAAAACTGGAGCAGAGACTCACCATCAATGTTTCTACTTCCGAACCCCCTTCCTCCATGTACTCTTTCATAATCCTCATTCGTTGTTCCCACATGACCATTAAAATCTCCACCTATCAAAAGCTCTTCACTTTCAGGGATACCTATCAAAACCATGTCAAAAAAAAATTTATCTTTCACTTCATCCTTGCATCCAGCTTGAGGTGCATACACGCTAACAATATTCATAATTACGCTCTCCCATACTAATTTTAGTACTATTATTCTATCGTTCACTCTCTTTACATCCGTCACACACTCTTTCAGGGCACTATCCAATACTACACCCACTCCATTTCTCTTCCCATCACTTCCGCAGTAATAAAACTTGTACCCCTCTCCTATCTCTCTTGCTTTCGTACCCTTCCATTTTGTTTCTTGCAAGCATGCCACGTTTATTCTTCTTCTTTTCAACACACATCTGCTAGCTCTCTCGCTCTTCCAGTCATACTCCCTACATTCCAACTTGCATACCTCAACCTCACCTCTCGGGCTTGCTTCTTACGTTGCACCCGCCTCGGGTAATAATAGTAATATACATAATTATATTTGATAAAAATAACGCTAAGTAATTTATGTAATGTAGGGACATCTACCATCGAATAGTTTATAACTTGTTTAAAATAGTGGTAAAATTTACAGCGCCATCTAGTAGCGAGTAGAAATCTCCAAGGTCACATGAAGTGAATCATAGACAATCTCATAAATCATTCATCTCGTTTTAAATATAACTTTATTCATTTACACGAACTGGAATTTGGTGACAATATTTCTGTATCTGTGACTTTTTATCTTGGTGGTATTATAAGTCATTAAAATATTTACGTTCAGAGGCTGTAAATACGAGAACTTTATAAATGAATAGTTCTTCTCTGAAATTTAAATTGATATTAAATGAATTAATTCTTAAACAAGTTCTTATTACTCAATTAAACAAAAGAGTGCCACTTTGTTTTAAAGTCAAATTAATAAAGACTTTTTATTGAATTTTCTTTAGTTGGTTGACAAGAAGCGTGGATCAGGACATTGCGAGAGTTAAACATGTTCATCGTTATAAATTATCAAATTAAGGTTTTCGATCACAACCGAACCGAGGGTAAAAAAGAACAAAAATAAACACGTCAGCTGTCAAAATTTGTTGTGTCATGTCGGCGTAATATTTTTGTTGAAATCCTTACATTGTGGCATCGTCCTAAATAGAATAAATAGATTCGAACAGTTTATAACTGAGCTAGAAAACTGTTATAGCAGCAGAAGAAGGATGCATTGGTTTGGGGGAAGCATCGCCGAGGCGGTGAATTTGTCTAAGCAAAGAAATGCAATTTTCGTCGTTTTTGTTGAAGGTACTCCTTTTACTTTCTTAATTTGCATCCTGAAGGTCATTTATATCATTGTTCTCGTACACGAAATCAGTTATTTCACTTAAAACTTGAGTTAAAATGTAGGTCATATGTCAGACTTCGAGGTTACTGCTAATATTTTGACGTAAAATTATTCTTCAAAATTAACCTATAACGCTTTATTTCTTTTTTACACCCTCTTCATTAGCTGTGTTTGAATCTTAATAGATAATTATTTAACGGAACCTTTCAACGTGTCTCTTAACAACTACAAGATATCCAAATAACTTGAAATTTTTACTAACTTTTTATCAAGGACAGAAAAAGAAAACTGAAGTATTGGTTTAATGAAAAATAAGAAAACATATTTATAAAAACTAAAAAGTAGGACTTTAAAAGTGCTATTAAAATAGTAATAATTTAAAAAAGCAACCCATTGTATTGATGAAATTGTTGGTTAATGTAAAATTTTCGATAAAAAAACATTTTTTTTAACCAACTGCAAAAAAGGCAGTTCTCAATTGCGAAGTGCTTGCTTGCCTTGCTCAAGTCCCAAACAGGATCACAAACGATTTCTACCACAAATAAATATGTATTCCTGTAAGAAAAGTCATCAAATCAACTCGTCCTAAGCATAACAATTTGTTTCATTATCATGAGTGTATTTTTGGGGACTGAGGGAAAATAATAATAATAATAATACCTTCACACATCTCACACACAGTCATCAGATACCAAACTAGGTAGAGCTTGTACTATGGTAACCAGACTGCTGATAAACATACTTATATACTTATATAATTAAATATCACCCAGACACAGAATAAATCATCATGCTCATCACATAATTATTAGTCCTTGGTGGGAATCGAATCCACAAACTTTAGCTTAGCAGTCACAGTCACAGTCACTACCCTACAGGCCCGTATATCTGTTGAGTATTAGGGGATGATAGCTGACGCACAGATGGGTCAACCGATGGTAACTAATCACCCATATACACATGCATCTCAAGATATACAAGTGCGTTAGTGTTTTTTGCTTGCTCCCTCTCCCCTCCACATGTGCCCCGCCTGACTCTATTGCCAGAAATTGCTAATCCACTAACTGATTGTATAGAGAAGAACAATTCACTAAGAAAAAAGTTTTGTGCCCGAAATTAACTGCATCGGTGGCGCAGTGGTAGCGTATGAGACTGCTATGCTAAGGTCTGGGTATGATCTGCAAATATTTGTTTCGGAATTTAGGTGTTTTCTATTAATAATATGTATGTATTTACAAAAAAAAAGCCGTGTGGTGTCGTGGGACACCCGATAGGAACGAAGTGGTGACGATCGAGTAAAACTAACTTAAGTTAAATAAATAATAAAACTGATTCGACACGATTTTAATTACAACGCCATCTATGAAAGCGGCTATTACCTACATATTTTTCAGTTGATTTCTAATTAAACAATTTATACATTGGTAAAATCTCCTTGAGAAATTATGTCGAATTCAATATTTTTGCTCAAACTAAGAACATAAATTTTAATTTTACTGAGATGAAAAGTAATGATTTCCTATCTATTCTAAACAAAAAGTGTCGTTACAACTTTTCGTGAGAATCCCCCCCCCCCCCTTTCACAGCGCGCGATAAGGAACTTCGTTCCAAAAGTATATAAGTATTCTATCAGTCAATCTAGCTTTCCTAGTACAAGCTCTGATTAGTTTGAAACTAGATGGCGTTGTGTGTGTTGTGTCCGAAATATTATTATTAATAATCAACCCTAGATATATTTTTCCATGAATGAATCACAGTACTTGCGTGTTATTATACATAAATACAGAACCTGAGTCAGGGCTACATTGCCAACTACTATCTGGCAAATTGCCATCAGTGTTTGTGTATCTTGCAATTTCGATTAATATTTTTGGTCAACGTTGTAAACATTCAACATACCCAGGCTACACAGACAGGGGTTGTGACTCCTGAGTTGCAGGCGTTCATGGGTATCGGTAGTTGCTTTCCATCAGGTAAGAACAAGGAAGGAAGGAAAAGAAAGGGAACATACCCAGGCTGCGTGACCCATTTTTTATTGACCTAAGCTTCTCGGTGAACACCCGTAGTATATCCAAGACCACAGCTCCCCCTCTAGTTTTAGCACAAGTTGTTCATAAATACGTCTTAAAATTATTTCTGTGCAAACAGAAAGATAAAAAATAGTATTTTGTTTTCTTGTTTTGTTTAAAAGGCAACTCCCACACTAGAAACTTATCCTGTGTCGCGGGGACTTCACAAACGTACGTGAAACGGACACAAAGAACACCCACACTCACAACAACAATTTGTGGTTCCATGCGTTCATTGAACCCACAACACTCAGGGCAGAAGGAACCATCTGTCTTTATTAAATCTGAGCTTGTTGATATTGACTTCCTTACAAAAACCTAAGCCCTCCACCTCTCTGACCATACGTGGTATATTGAAGATCCGTCCCCTGAATGGGTCACGTAGTTTGTATACGTTCCCTTACCAAATTCCTCTGATAATCCTTATTCCTCTGGTGGGTCATTTGGATATCTTTACAAGCTTTTCTTTACCGTCCAATGTTTGTATGTGTTGTATTTGTATACGAATGTCTTATTATTAATATGTCACGACACTATATAAACTAACAAACATACTTCATTATAAATTCATTGTTGTGTTGTCAGTAACACTGAGTACATTATAATACAAGTCAAATCAAGAAGTCGTTTTAATTACAATAATTAAATACGGTTTTATTCAATGCTATTTCACCTGTGATAAATCACTACTGTGATTTAATCATGACAAAGATATATGCCATCAAAACGTAAGCAAAGAAAAAAACAACTATGTTTTGTTTGTTTTGTTTTATGGTATAAGGGGGCAAACGAGCAGACGGGTCGCCTGATGTTAAGCAACTACCACCGCCCATGGACACCTGCAACTCAAAAGTCACAAGTGCGTTGCTGTCCTTGGTTGTTTGGGCTCCGGTAACCTCACTCATCCAGTGAAAGGCAACGAGAGAATTGCTTAACACCGGTTTTCTGTGAGGCCGTGGTATCACTCCGGTCGAGCCGGCCCATTCGTGCCGAAGCATGACTCGCCCACGGTGAAATATGTAAAGAGAATTTTCTTTTTATCAAAGACTACGACTTTTTTTTAGACCACTGTAATCATAAGGCGCAATGGTTCTGTAGATTAGTGACATGTGTGATTAATGATTTTTATATCATGTGATCGTGTAGTGACGGATTAAAAATACGGAATGTCACTACCCCAATTCATCCCGTGGGTGTCGTAAGAGCCGACTAAGGGCGCAAAACAACGCAGGACACCAGAACTGCAAAAAGAAGGAAAACTTGACACAAACCCTATACCAATCCGTCTGGCCAGCTTGGGATAGTACACCAAAACCACTTTTTTAAGGAGAGGCCTATGTCCATCACTGGACTGTTAAAGGCTGTTGATGTGATGTGATGTGACACATACATATATACTTGCTGAGTTACATATATACATATATACACATATATTACAACATATAAAACTATCCTGTACTACCCTGATGGCGAGAGGTAGAGAGTTCGAGAAGACAGATTGGATTAGGAAAGAACGTACAGTAGACACATGCGGAAGTATGCGTGGGGCAAAACAGAAGTGGATTGTTTTGCATTAGGAACGCACAGTAGACACATGCGGCAGTATGCGTGGGGCAAAACAGAAGTGGATTGTTTTGCATTAGGAACGCACAGTAGACACATGCGGCAGTATGCGTGGGGCAAAACAGAAGTGGATTGTTTTGCATTAGGAACGCACAGTAGACACATGCGGCAGTATGCGTGGGGCAAAACAGAAGTGGATTGTTTTGCATTAGGAACGCACAGTAGACACATGCGGCAGTATGCGTGGGGCAAAACAGAAGTGGATTGTTTTGGATTAGGAACGTACAGTAGACACATGCGGCAGTATGCGTGGGGCATAACAGAAGTGGATTGTTTTGGATTAGGAACGTACAGTAGACACATGCGGCAGTATGCGTGGGGCAAAACAGAAGTGGATTGTTTTGGATTAGGAACGTACAGTAGACACATGCGGAAGTATGCGTGGGGCAAAACAGAAGTGGATTGTTTTGCATTAGGAACGCACAGTAGACACATGCGGCAGTATGCGTGGGGCAAAACAGAAGTGGATTGTTTTGCATTAGGAACGCACAGTAGACACATGCGGCAGTATGCGTGGGGCAAAACAGAAGTGGATTGTTTTGCATTAGGAACGCACAGTAGACACATGCGGCAGTATGCGTGGGGCAAAACAGAAGTGGATTGTTTTGGATTAGGAACGTACAGTAGACACATGCGGCAGTATGCGTGGGGCAAAACAGAAGTGGATTGTTTTGGATTAGGAACGTACAGTAGACACATGCGGCAGTATGCGTGGGGCATAACAGAAGTGGATTGTTTTGGATTAGGAACGTACAGTAGACACATGCGGCAGTATGCGTGGGGCAAAACAGAAGTGGATTGTTTTGGATTAGGAACGTACAGTAGACACATGCGGAAGTATGCGTGGGGCAAAACAGAAGTGGATTGTTTTGGATTAGGAACGTACAGTAGACACATGCGGCAGTATGCGTGGGGCAAAACAGAAGTGGATTGTTTTGGATTAGGAACGTACAGTAGACACATGCGGAAGTATGCGTGGGGCATAACAGAAGTGGATTGTTTTGCATTAGGAACGCACAGTAGACACATGCGGCAGTATGCGTGGGGTATAACAGAAGTGGATGGTTTTGGATTAGGAACGTACAGTAGACACATGCGGCAGTATGCGTGGGGCAAAACAGAAGTGGATTGTTTTGGATTAGGAACGTACAGTAGACACATGCGGAAGTATGCGTGGGGCATAACAGAAGTGGATTGTTTTGCATTAGGAACGCACAGTAGACACATGCGGCAGTATGCGTGGGGCATAACAGAAGTGGATTGTTTTG